ACTGATCGGGAATATTCTGGTCTTGTACCTGATGAAGTCTAAACAGGTATGGAACAAGTCCTCCATCAACCTGTTCGTGACGAGCCTGGCGGTGACTGACTTCCAGTTCGTGTTGACCCTGCCCTTCTGGGCGGTGGAGAATGCCCTGGACTTCACTTGGCTGTTCGGTAAAGCCATGTGCAAGATCGTCTCCTATGTGACGGCCATGAATATGTACGCTAGCGTCTTCTTCCTCACTGCCATGAGTGTGGCCCGATACTGGTCTGTCGCCTCGGCCCTGAAGAGCAAGAGACGCCGGTCGTGCTACTCTGCGAAGTGGATGAGTCTGCTGGTGTGGATCTCCGCCGTGGTGGCCGCCCTGCCCAACGCCGTGTTCTCTACCACGGCCGTGGTGTCTAGCGAGGAGCTCTGTCTGGTGAAGTTTCCGGACAACAGTGGCGACGCGCAGTTCTGGCTAGGGATCTACCATGCGCAAAAAGTTCTGTTGGGTTTCCTCATCCCGCTGGGGGTTATCTCCGTGTGTTACTTGCTTCTCCTGCGCTTCATAACCAACAAGCACGTAAACACCTCCAGCGCAAAAAGGCGCTCCAAAGTGACCCGATCTGTCACCATAGTCGTCCTCTCGTTTTTCCTCTGCTGGCTGCCGAACCAAGCGCTCACGGCTTGGGGAATCCTGATCAAGCTCAACGTGGTGCATTTCAGCTACGAGTACTACACCACCCAGGCGTACATCTTCCCTGTGACCGTGTGCTTAGCGCACTCCAATAGCTGCCTGAACCCCGTGCTCTACTGCTTGATGCGAAGGGAGTTCAGGAAAGCTCTAAAGAAGCTTTTTTGGAAGATCACCTCACCCTCAGTTACCAATATGCGACCTTTTACGGCCACAACGAAGCCAGAACAGGATGATCACGGAAACGCTGTGGTCCCACTAAACCCACCGGAGTCTGATGTGATATTTTACCCGCCTGGTGTAGTGATGTACAACGGGAGGAACGATCTTTTGCCAAACAGCACATGACAGACCGCTGACACGCGTTTAACCAAGGTTCCGTTTCATGTTGGATCTGCTCAGTTTTTTACCTTCTTACTTTACTGGTTTTGTGTTCGCGGATTATGATTCTGCTCGTCCTGAAGAAGAAGAACGTTCCGTATCCACGAATTCAGCGAAAAACTCAAATCGTTATGACATGTACATATGTAGATTTCATTTCAGCCCATGTGATGTATGTATATAAAATCGGTCACCCACTGGTGTCACTGCTGTGATATAATGTGCTGAATTCTGTTAAATTAAAGATGAATTAAACTCTTCTTCTCACAATTAAATTTGTACGAAGCATGTTTAAGTTTTAACCGTGGGTGTGTGTATAACACCAATCCGTAGTATACCCTTGCATTTACTTGCATGCATGACGCTGCCTGGGCTTTGATCGGGTCAGTGTCACATCACGAAACTGTCCACAGTTATAAGACACTAAGGAATCAGACAACGTTTGTATAGGAAGTCCTTCATATAAATAAACTTTAGGCTGTATTATTTTATATAAGCCTAGGGGTCATTGACATTTTTATTATGATAGACTCACAGCCTCAGTTAACACATTTTGCTACGTTCAGGTTGACGGGTTGAAATGTGCTTGAATTACAAAAATACGCCAATTGTTTACATACAATAATATACAGATCATTTAACAATTAATAATATACCTATCATAAACTATATAGCCTACACCTAATTATGAATTCACCCAACATAAATGAGTATTTCATTATTTTTGTTAGTTGGGACGCTGACTTACGTAGCCTACGTAGCTTTGTATTTGTAAATACGTTTCCGGTTGATATTGGACTAACAACAATTCCATGTCCAGTAATTGTTTGTAATTAAGATCATTGACTATTTTCCGCTGCACATCGGTGTTGAGCAAGGACAGCAGCAGCACATGAAAACACTTTTATCGATTACTGATGATTTAATAGTTACCAATAATTGTTTATCGTGTTAATGAAACTGGAACTGTAATTTGTTGACTAGTTTGGATCGTTAGACGATAAGAAAATCCAGCAACCGGGAGCATCCTAATAACGCGTTCGCCCTATCTTCAGATAGAATAGCTCTTTAAGAGAATTGGGATACGGAAAAGACGGTAATGTCACATGTCTGTTACATATGTACATTACGCATTTAATGTGTCGCAGAGTTTAAACAGGTAAATTCAACGATTTCAGAAACAGATTTTTATTGGCCATGTATCTTTTGTCACTGATTCATTATTACCATCTGTGTATCCTCTTGTTGTAAAGTCAGGGCACACGTATTGTCAGCTAATATTTTTATCCGAAGTGCGTGATACCTTTCATACAATAAGACGTTTAATGAAATAAACTCAGGTTGACGTTCCTGCTCCGTGGGACTGCATGGGTACAGGGTCCCATCTTTTTGTTTAACCAGCATACTCTCCGCTGCCCCATTTAATGTAAAAAGAAATCTGTATGTAGGCCTATGTTTTAAGGTCGAGCATGTTCATTCATAAAATACTGTTGACGGATAAAATCAGCAAGTAGAAAAACAGGGAACAGTGAACAATGTGAGACAGGGTAATTGCGAGCTAACTTCCCCCTATCAGCACAAGCCTGTTGAGACTCCAGGACCTTGGAGAGCTGATTCTGCGGAGGACGGGCGTGGAAAAGGAACTGTCTGCTTGCCCTCCAAACATCGCTGAGCCCTCCATGGTCAGACTCACACAGGCCTCAAATGCCATCAGACTTATTACTTCTGTGGTTTTTAGAGAATTGCCTTTGTGCAAATCTGTCACCTTGTTGGCCTTAAAATCAATGCAGCCTCCATTCACTGCATAGCTGCAGAGCTCAACACAAAACTGTAGAAGGGGTCAGTTCACAGTGCTGGGGGGTCACGGTTACCGACTAAGTGGCCGCACTCGTTTAAATGAGGCACCCCCGGCTTGGGGAATTCTGATTAAGCTCATCGTCCATTTCAGCTTCCCCCCCCCACCCCAGATGGAGTTGAGAATAATGTCTACATCAAATCAAAGGTCTCACTGCCAGTACTAATCCATTAGGGGGGCTGACATTGGCAGAACCGCTCAGCCCTGTTTGACGGACACAGACGTTATTGATGAGCAAGGCTAGGTTGGGCCCTGATGTTTTCTCTGGTCTGAGGTAAACGCACAAGTAAGAACAGCACAGGGCAGCAGGTGGCGCTGTGGTTAAAGACTTTATGCTTGTACAGTGGAATGCTTAACCTGAATGCTCCAGATACGGTGCAGGTGTGTAAGAGTAATCACGTGTCTGAATGACAGAAACAGATGAGCAATTTCATGTGAAAAACTTTCCTAGTAGTTAACCCATGGCTAGCAAAGTATTCACAGCACAGCCATGGGGACGCTGGCTCAGCCTGCTCTCCGAATCCTAGCTTTCCGTAATCGTACGTCACTTTGGACAACAGTATCTGCTGAGTAAATGAGGCCTCTTATCTTGCACAGCATCTTTTTTCCTGACTGCCTGAGATAAAAATTCATCGAATAGATTATTGTAGCTTTATTTGACATTCTGGAAGTTAAGCGTCATGGTTTTGAATAATGTTTATTGTCACAGTAAATTGCTAATTCATTTCACATGCTCTTAAAGCTCCTGTTAGTGGCTGAATAAGCAGCTCTTTGAAAGAAACTCTCATCCAGATGGACTATGCGTCCTTGGCTTTGCGTTTGTTAAAGTAACCCTCCATTTGAGGTCTTCTGAAGTGACTGCAGAGGTGTGAGATTCCTCAAGGGTTGTGGCAAACATGAAAGCTGCGCCGTGCTCCTGAGCCGGCCAGCGGCTAAGTGTCGCACGGCTGACATCAGCCCTAACTCGGGGACAGAGATACAGGATGGGGTGCAACAGTGACGGCACAGCAGTTAAGACTTACTGAACAAAGGAAGCGAGGGGTCTGGCCTTATGCTTGTAGTGGATAATGCATGACTGATTGCAAATGTTCTGAGGATCCCCTTAAAATTGTGGCACAAAAACACATCTGTTATGGCAGATCACAGAAACAGGAACACAGGGAAATACATGCATGCACTCGAGCTGTTTAAACCGCTCCGGTCTCTCTCCAAAGGCTGCAAGATGTTCTTGTCTCAGACTCCGCTCAGTTTTTGTATAACAGCATGACCTTTTGCAGAGGGAAAAAAAGTGCACAAAAACAGTGTAGAAAAAAGGGAGCATTGTTTTTTTTTTTAGCGGCGGCTGAGGAGGCACCGTGGTTCAGTGACATTCACATCGGGTTGCGAACCCTGAAAAGGAACCTGTGAGCTTCTGAAACGCCCGGCTTACCTGCAAAGGGCAGGACGCTCGTACCAGGGCTGCAGCCGGAAGCTCATAGGAGTTCTACATACACAAAAATATGTTCTGAGGGCAGAAAGAAAAATGATTGGTTCAAATAGATATCCAATCAGATTGTAGAAGAGGTGGAACCAAGACATCTGATTGGTTGACCCCGCCTATTCTAATTGCTTGGACCCACCAACTCTATAATCCTACTGGTTATCTCTCTGAAACAATAATTTTTCTTTCTTTCCTCAGAACATTGTTATGTAAATAAAACGCCAATGAACGCACTGGAACAAATCTTATCAAAGAAGCCCAGATGTGTCCAAGACAACTGTCAGGGGGGTTCAGCTTGGATTCTGGGGGATGCTAGTCCTTCCTCCTACACTGGCGCATGGATCGCCGCCACTGTATCTCTGTGCCCACGGCCAGGAAAGTATGCAGGTATCACAGCATACATTATAAGAAACATGCAGAGATGACAGACTCATTACCCATCACATCTTCCAGACAGACAAGGCAGAAACTGTATTTCTTAAAAGAAATTTATAAACACAATATGAATCTGGATGTTGTTCAAAGCTGCCTGGTACTTCTCCAGTAAAATGCTGAAAGACAGCCTCCCAGTAACCTACTCAAGACTGAGGATAGGGAACCAAAATCGTCTTTTCTTTTTATTGGAAAAACAGGGAGTGTTTGAATGGCAGGGGGTCAGCCCACATGGCGTATGAAGACGGCGATGAAGAGGCAGCCAATCAGTGAGACCGTGGATGCGGAGAGTACCACAACGACGACGCTGCCCACGGCATTGACGAGCGCGCCCAGCCCTGCCCCCACTAGGATCTGGCCCAGCTGCACCATGCAGGTGAGGGCAGCACAGTCTGCACCCATGCCACGAGCTGCCTGGCTTGAGCTTCCATCATTCTGGGGGGGATAGAGAAGGGAGACATGTCAGTCAGTATTTTTCATCAAGGCGACAGGTATGGGGTAGTATAGGGTGGTGCGGGGGGGGGGGTGTAGTGTTTAGCATAGGGTGGAGTGTAGGGCGGGGTGCGTGTGTGGCAGGTAGCCTGGAGACATAGATCCTGCCTGTGGGCACCCACCCATCTGAGGGGCACATCTGGGGGGCAGCCATTGAACGTTGGCGTGAGGGTTTCTCACTGGAGAATGTCTCCTCTCCACCTGCCCCATGACTCCAGACCTCCAGACCGAAACTGGGATCTCACGATGGCTTCTCAAGTTCCACAAATGAGCAGGATTAATGTGATAAACATAGGAAGACCTTAACCCCTCCCTATTTCTGAGTCAGCAGGGGGGGCCTTGATTCTGTCCAGCTCTCCACCTGACACAGCCACTCTGCCTCACATTGGACCAGAAAATCACAGTTCGATAATTAAACCACAACCAATACCCAAGCTGTCTCCAAAGAGAGACACAACCAGACTGCTTCTCCCCAATGGGCAGTGAAGGTGAGAAGCTGTTCTCCTCCAAGCAGGTCAGGGTTACACGCCACCAGTTTACCTGCAGAATCTCATTCTGAGGCTCTGAGCAACATTTGCAAAGAGCTTGATTTGTGCACTCAGGAGGAATGTCCTGTCTTCTCCTGGGAGAATCCTGTTTGTTCCTCATATTCAAAGTGTCCCTTAAATGTAGCTCCCCCTACTGTCTTAACGCCGTCGCCCACTTAACATTTCCTGCAGCGGACTGGGGGCCACCCCTGCACACTCTGAGAAACCCCAAATCACCCTGGCTTCCAAGCAAAGAGGCCATGTGCCTCATTCAAACCTGGGTCCCAGCTCTTGACCTGCCCTCCCCGGGGCGGTTCAGTCGGACCCGGGACTCTCAGTGGTCCTCTGTGAGCATGCAGGTAGCTGCCTGAAGGGCATTTCAGAAGATCACTGAACGTTACTGAACAGGGAGGTACAGAAATGAAGATCAGCAAAGCCAACATTACCGGCATACAGATACTGTACATTACCGGCATACACAGCTGAGGTCCTAATTAAGGCCGTCAGATGCAGATTACAGAGAAAACACACATTTAAAGCACCAAGACACCTCCTTGTCTGTTAATTGCACTTGTGGAGAAAATACAAACTCTAAGGAAACAGCAGAAAACACATGCTGGCATCCAAATGAACACAAACAGACAAACAGGTCTGTATAATCACATCTGTCATTACTCTACTCCGTCTGCTTTTCCAAAAGCATCAAAGGATTCTCAAGCATTCGCAGATCTGCAGATTGGAATTATATAAAATTGCGGAAGCTCATTCGTTCATGAAATGCACACGCTTCACGGTTTTCATGAGAAACACGCAGATGGGGAGGTGCAGGGGGAAGCCAGCCGGGGCCATCTGACCTTTTCCTTCTCCTCGCGGTGGTACTCGGAGATCAGGTGGAATGGCACCGTGTACAGCGTGCTGGACATGATCCCGAAGACGGTGCAGAGAGCCAGTGTGGCACCCAGGCTGGGGAACAGGCCAATGAGCCCCGTGCCCAGACCGAACATGAAGTAGCCCATGAAGTAGAGCCCCTTCAGGCCGATATAGGGCAAGAGGAGGCGCTGCACATCTGGGGAGAAAATAGCGTGAGTCAAAGTGGCGCGGGGCCGCATGCCACGCCCACTTCTGGCCCCTTGGCCACCCCCCCCCCCAAAAAAGTTGGCACAAGCTGGTACAAAGAAGAAGCTTTCAGCATAGCAGAGGACGTATGTCAGGTATAGAGCTGTCCAATTCACCGCTCAACTAAAGGGAGCTTTTCCACCGCACCAGGTACCGTACTTTAGGTACTTCAAGAAGGTACCAAAAGTACGGTACTTAAAGGTGTTGGCACCGAATGACATCACAACATGAGGCGGGGTATTTTGTACTGAATTCAAAAAATGGCTGTAGTATATTATAGGGCTGGATGATTTGCAATATTAATACCAACATCACATGTTGTGCACATCCAATTCTGACATCACTAGTCAGTTAGATTAAGATCAGGGTTTTTCTTACCTTGAATTTGGTACAATTATTACAGTGCAGTCTCACTAAAACATTTTTACTCTGTCATAGGAAAAAAAAACCTAGCAAATTTTGCAATATTAATGATTATTTATTTTCAAGATTATCTAGTATATGTTTTAAAAACAGTTTAAAGTTTACCTCCACTGCATGCGTTCTCCGAGACAATCATAATCATATTCATCCTTGCTGCTTAAATCACTTCTTGACGGGTTTGTGAGAAATTTATGTTGAACTCTTTTGTTTCTAAAATACCCCAATATTTATTCAAACGAAATCACATTGCAATATTTGAAAAATTTCCAATACTGTGCTGTCACAGTATGTTATACAAAATACTTTATTTCTTGTTATGCTATCCTGATCTTGTTGTATCTGTTCTTCTGTCCAGATCGCAATTAAAGCTCGAGTCACTTCATTTGTCCACACATCCATTATTGTTAATTTTATTATTTTTTATAGGTCATCCGGAATACTAACAAGCTGAAAGGAGCCAAATCGCCACCTATTGTAGTATAAATCGATTCTCCTCCCATGCATGTACAAGGACAGTAGTCCGATTAAATGGTGTAGTCGAGCTATAATTGTAGCCCGATTTAGGTCTGCATGTAAACGTACTGACTGATGGTGTGGGGGTGCATTAGTGCCCATGGCTTGGGTAGCTTGCACATCTGGGGAGGCACCATTAATGCTGAAGGATATATACAGGTTTTGGAGCAACATATGCTGCCATCCAGACGACGTCTTTCCATAGGAGGCCTTGCACGTTTCAGTAAGACAATGCCAACCTGCATTCTGTGCATATAACAGCAGCATGGCTCCGTAGTAGAAGAGTCTGGGTGTTAGACTGGCCTGCCTGCTGTCCAGACCTGTCACCCACTAAAAACACGGTGCATCGTGCAACAAAAAATATGACAAAGGAGACCCTGAACTGTTGAGTCGCTGAAATCCCATATCAGGCAAGAATGGGACAAAAATTCACTTTCAAAACACCAGCAAGTGGTCTCCTCAGTTCCCAAACGTTTACACAGTGTTGTTAAAAGAACAGATGATACAACACAGTGGTAAACATGCCCCAGGTTTTTTTTAATTATGATGCTGGCATCAAATCACTGAGAAAATAAAATAATGTGTAGATCACCAAGGGGACAAACAAGTAGATCACTGAAGACACAGACAGGAGTAGATCACCATGGACACTGACACAAGTTATGTCACCAAGAACACAGACATAAGTAGATCACAGCGGATGCAGACAGGAGTTGGTCACAGAGGACACAGACAGGAGTCGATCACCAAGGATGCAGACAGGGGTAGGTCACAGAGGACACAGACAGGAGTCGATCACCAAGGATGCAGACGGGGGTAGGTCACAGAGGACACAGACAGGAGTCGATCACCAAGGATGCAGACGGGGGTAGGTCACAGAGGACACAGACAGGAGTCGATCACAAAGGATGCAGACGGGGGTAGGTCACAGAGGACACAGACAGGAGTCGATCACAGCGGATGCAGACAGGGGTAGGTCACAGAGGACACCTACATGAGTAGAGCGCAGAGGAGGCGGCGTTGATGCAGAGACCCCAGCAGCCCACCTCCACACCACGCTCGTAGGTCAGGTAGGCCGTGGAGTTGTGCTCAGCGTAGGGGTTCCCCCTGTAAACGATCTGTGCGAAAGTGGGGGTTCCGCACCGTCAGAGAGTCTTCACATTGGGTTCAGGCGATGGGGTTTTGTCTCTGTCCCCACAAAGCTCCGACCGGCTGCAGACGGACAGATTTGGCAGTTCTGCGGTGTGCTAAGCGCAGGCCCACATGTTTACAGTTTAGATGTCTGCCCCCGATTCACCACAACCTGCTTTGGCTTTCAGGTACAGTACCTCTCAGCCTGACCTCATTTTCAGCACTTAATCATGGCGACACATTTCCCACTCCGTCAGTGTGAAAGAAATCTGAGGTCTTAATTAAAGATCAGACCGGGAAAATGACACTGACAGCCCAGTCTGTCACTCATCTCAAGCGTCACAGTCATCATGCCCCCTAAGCCATTCGCCACATCAGCCTGGGTCTGCAAGTCAAGGCGCGGACAGGATCTCAAACAAAATTACATTTAAATGCTAAAGCCATTCAATGATGTGAGCAGTTGGTGAATCTCTTGTTTTTTTTCAGCAGAAGGTTAGATGACTTTAATGAGATGACAACCCTCCCTTATCTCACTGTCATTCACAGTGTTTCCCAGTTTGACCTCTGTGTTCTCCAGATCCCTTCCAAAGCACAGAGAGAAAACCTTCAGCTGAACCAGTGATGGTTCAGCACGCGTCTAACCCTACCGTGCCTGTCCCAGCCGTGTCGTGCGTCAGCCCCATGCCACCCCGTCCCACATGCACACGCACGCACGCAGTCACCTGTCCCATGAAGTCCGTGAAGAAGAGCATGTTGCAGAGGAACGCGGTCCAGCCCAGCAGGTGACAGACACACAGGCAGCGGTAATGACTGGGCATGGTGACCATCGCCAGCAGCACCGACTTCAAGGACATTCGCTTCTGGGCCTGCAATGGACAGACACATGCAGACACAGAAAGGACACAGAGACACAGCTCAGACAGGCAGCGCAGCTGGAGCAGACCCCTAAGCCGTGTCTGCTTTAAGCAGCATGCTCACGACTAGCAAACCTCAGCTGCACCAATCAGGATGATTTAAAGGGGTCAGCTGTCAGTCTAACTTAACAATAGTAACAATAGAATAGTCCACCATATCCCTGTTCTGCCAGCAAGGGTGTAGACTTGAGTATGGACAAGTCCCTACCAGTATTGTGGGAGTACTGTGTGTTTGGGGTGGGGGGGGGGGGTTAGGGGTTGATTTGGTCCATATTAATGTTAAAACCAGACCTACTTGATATACTGACAGTCTGGTTCTAAATGCCATCATCTATATCATAACCCATGGTTACTAACTCCGCCAGGCTGGGGCTATCTGTGGTGCCACCCAAATAGGGACCTCAGTCCCCAGCAGCCACCAAGGAGATAATTAGTAAGTGGAAGAAAAACTGAAAACAGAATGTTAGCTAACGTAGCTAGATTCAGAGACTCTATATGATATAATTCTATTGTTATAAGCTAAGGGTATCTGAGCCATAAACATTATTTTTTTACTTGCACACACCCTAAGGAGAGCTGAAATGTCTTAAGCTGCAAAGACGTAATCCTAATGACGCACAGAAATCAAACCCACCTTTGTTTTACTAAAAGTCTTGACCTTGACCTGATAAGAATAACTAATTAGCTGCAAAGCTAAACACAGTCGCAAAAGCTTAAGATCGAATGTCCTACTTAGCTTAGATAAAATGTATCTGAAGGTTGTGCTGTCTGGTACCTCTCAAAAGCCCTATCAGCGCTCACTGCCGTAACACTTGTTGATGTGTGTCTGTGCCCTGTACGGGGAGACTGCATGCAGAGCTGAATTTCTGTAGTTTCTTATTCTAAAGATATCAGAAGCAAGTATCGGCTGAAATTTCTGCAACAATTGTGATCACAGTAACTGCTAGGGTCCGACTGTTAGAAAGATAACTCTTCAGTAAAAGAGTCAGTGGTCTGCAGAAACAACCGGAAGACAAAACAAGGATTCTAATTTATTGCAATCCTTTGCAATTTTATTGCGAAATGTATTTTTAAAGGTGAAAATGATGTCTCATTTAGGCAGCTCTCTATCACATTCCCGGGACCTCCATACCGTTCCACACGGTACACAGACAGTATCACTCATATCGAAGTGTCTCATTCCCTCCCTTTGTTTGGATCTGGTCTGTTCAAATAAGCATCACCCCCCCCCTCCTTCGCCGGCTAGTAACTGCCCTGCACTCCCACTATCTCTATAATTTGTCACGACGCAGCGCAGACATACAGTACAGAGCAGAAATCAGATAATAGCCTGGCTATCTGTACAACATCAGCCTGAATCAGAGCAGAACAAGTAAAATTCACACACAGCTCCACCTGGGCTGCAAATCCACTAGCTTAATAAACCCAGGAAAATGTCAAATGATCCCAGTGCACATCACCTGGATGCTAGCCTGGACTGGAAAGTTACCTGTGAATGTTAGAAACACAGGCAAAAGAGAATTCAGAAATATGAAAAGTGACACCTGGGTCCTGGTCCTGAGAAGGTGGCCCGCGTGACCCATGCCAGCCTGCTGTGCTCGACGCCGCTTCTGGGCTCATCCCAATTTTCCTGGCTGATTTTTTCAGAAACAGACGTGCCGTACAGTACAGACATTTCAAAATAAAACAGCCCTCTGGAGATTATAAACAGCTTCTCGTCAAAGTGCTGCTGTCCCAAACCCTGACTGGAGCATGACCCATAAGGGCGTCCCACTGTCAGCGCCGCCCCAAACGCCAAGAGAGCCCGGCGGGGGGCAGACACGGTCCGACAGTGATGAAGGGGGGGGGGGCAAAAGCAGAGAAAGCTGCCCGTCCTGTGACAGAAAATGGCCATTAAATGGTCAGCAAATGAAGGACAGAAGTCAGAAGGATGAGAAAGTCGTCGTCTGATGGGTGTGTGTGCAGTCAACTCAAATACTGCAGTAACCTCTCTGACTATAACGGAACCATTTCCCCTCCTCTGCATGTACAGAACTGTAGCAGCCAAAGAAAAAGGTGTTTAAATGATCTTCATGTAGGTGTAAAACTATGATATTATGCCTGTCAAAGTGTGTCAGCTTAGCCATTTCAAACCTCTGCTAAAGTCACCACAAGATATGCAGGAATCATCCAACACACCCATGTGTTTTTTGACTTGACAACTAGCCCACCTTGTATGGCTAATCAATACCTCATTGAGTTATTTGACTAATCAAGTTGATTAATTAAGAGAGGTTGTGGTGAATTTAAAGAGTACATGGAACGGCTAGAGTGCACCTGAGGCGGTGGTGGATTGAGTATTGTATTTGAAAACCATGCTTGAGTAAAAGTAGAGATACCTTACTAGGAAAATTATTTGGATAATAGTTAAGTCACCCATTAAAATAACACTTGAGTAAAGTCCTAAAGTATCTGATGTTAACAGTACTTAAGTATTAAATGTAAGCTTAAGTAAAGTTGTGGTTTCCTTCTGCCTCAGTTTCCAAATTAAAAACTAGATGCTATCGGAATACTTTTGTTATCTTGCAGTACATAATTATTAATTGCACTGTGTCCATTACAAGTACACAAGATAAAATAAAAGGACTAATAACTAATATGTACAAAAATACATAATTTGAATGTTACACGGTGTGCATTGTCCCCCCCTAGTAAAATGCTTAAATCACACTTTACTGGACGTGTCTGTGTCATTTAGTTTTAAAGTCATAACACTTTACAATAGGTATCTCAGTTACTACTCAAGTACAACATGAGCAAATAGAGTAGCTACTTAAAAGAAGTGTCCAAATTCATTAGTGATCATCAAACATGAGACCTGTATTTCACTTTTTGTTATTCGTTATTTTTTCCTTCAATAGTTCACAAAGGCTTAGGGAATTAACAGGTATAGTAACAATTATAGTAATTTCTTGAAATAAATGATACGTTACAAATAATGATGAATGTACATGAGATCAATGTATCAGTTAATTAAGTTTCCGTGTCTCTTTTACGTGAACAAACTTACTTACTGGTTCATTAGAATCGTAATTACCGATTCCTAATATGCAGACACTGATTATGTACATTATAAAGTGATTTGTTTGTGGTTAATACATTAAGTAACTGTTGGTTCATGATTAATAGGTGTCACCTATAAAGTTATTAGTTTATTGATAGTGACCTTTGTACTGTGAGCAGACACAGTGCAGTTCTTAATAGTATTGGAGAAGGACTTGATTTTTTCCCTTCCATTAATTTCTTCCTCCCCCCTTGTCCCATAGGGCCCCCGTCAGAGGCGGACGGACAGGATAGGCAAGGCAGGCAGTTGCCTGTGGCCGTCCAGCTGGGCCAATTACATTGTGTATTGCAACCTGCTTTATTTATATATTCTGTTTTTCACAGTAAAGTTCAAACAAAGGAATTGGGTTTACTAAATTTCCTTTGTTGATATTATTAATTTAGACTTCAAGCTTTAACAATTGTCATAAATTTTACCATGTAGGCGGAGGGTTGGTTGGGGGTCCCCATGGAGTTTCTTGCCAAGGGCCCCCAGTGTTTCTAGAATCGCCTCTGGGCTCCGTATATAAGTGTCTGCAGCAGATCGGTCTCAAAACCCCATGTATTCCCCATCGGGGCAATGCAGTCACCTGTGTTTTTATTATGGCACTGCAGACAAAATTAGGTTGGCAATGCAAAATGTAACGACCATTGTCAATAGAAATATATTACAGCAAAAAGTACAGAAAGTCTTTAGAACTGTAGCTAAGTAGTAAGTGAAAGCTGCTAATATCGATAATACTCAGTCCAAGTACAAAGTTGCCAAAATAACACTTAAGTACAGTAATGAAGTACAGTTACTCAAGTACACCACTGCCCTGAGGACAGACTTGGGTACTGAAGCAGTGCTCTTCTAGCCATCCAACAAGACAGCAGTAACCTTTTGGAGAACAGAAGTAATTCTTGATAGGTTTTATTGTATTACACTTAAAATTATGTATGTTCTAATGTTTAACAGTGTTTTCTTTCTGAGCAAATACACACTTATTGCCAAGATAAACAGCATTAATCATTCTTGGACCACCTATTAATTTATAAGAGTATGTAAATAAATAAGAATCGGTGAGCAAAAGGCTGCCATTAGTGTGTGAAAATAAACTGAGCTCTGCAAAGGGTTTTGGAAAAGCACAGGCGTAACCTGGACACCGGCGGCGTGACTCTCGTCAGAAGCAACAAAACGGAGGAAGACGACAGACTGATATTTCAGATAAACAGATATCATCCGGAAGCTGTTACTGAGCAGAGACAAGGCACAGTTACACGCCATCTTCACTATTCTAACCATCCACTTGCCAGCCGGTGCCCAAGACAATAGGAAGTATCCACAATTAAAGCCAGGAGATTAATGAGAATCTCAGGAAATATGGACGGTAAGCAGCCCTGCTGTTGTTGAGCTGAAAGGTGTCGCTCCCCTGGACGTTGTGGAGTGACAGATAAACAGCCAAAGTCTGGCTGCTGCCTTTCCATCTTCTTGAAAACAAAGCAACTGAGAGCCCACACTCATTTGAATGTCTCAATAGAGCAGTTTATATATTTATGGTATATTTACATAATAGGGAATTAATGCTGCCCCGTGGCACTCTGGGTAATCTCTAGTAATGCAGCTGAATGGAAGAGCACGATTCCATCACCTTTAATAGGATACACTGCCCGGCCAAATAAAAGTCGTCATTCGGATTTTTCATTGGACCGCCTTTAGCTTTGATTATGCCGCACATTTGTCATGGCATTGTTTCCACAGGCTTATGCAACATCTCACCCTTTATTTTGCCTGGATCTCAGCTGATGAGAGAAACTCCCTTTTAGACGATGACCAGAAGCAACTGCTAATTGATTAATAGTAAATAATAAAGAAATTTTGCGTGTTGTCTGGGTTTTGACAGACCTGTTATCTCTACGGGGTTACGGCTTTTGCCATTTAACAATAAATCTTCAAAGAAAGATAAGCACATGGACCCAAAACGCATAATCTCTCTCTCTCTCTCTCTCCCCCTCCCTCTCTCTCTCTCTCCCTCCCTCTCTCTCTCTCTCTCTCTCTCTCACACACACACACACACACACACACACACACAGTTCTTAAATGGGCCCTTCTGCAGTTTCTGTCGAAGGGACTTCAGTTAATGCTTTTATAAATATCATCATTGTTAATCTGGTGCCTTGCAGCCTAGTCTGTCAGACAGATGAACAATAATTCCAGCAGCATGTTATGGATTATTTAACAGGTCTTGTTATGAGCCCACAGATGAAATATTCATTTTTCAAGCATATGAGATAAGAATCACTGCGCCTTGAAGCCCAAGCTGCTGGACATGACTCTTAATGGGCTCTTACTGCATTGACAGACCCTGACCTGAGTACACCCACCTGGCGTGAGGGATACATGTGTGGCAGCAGCCACATTTGTCTGCGTCCCTTATCTCCCACTGACCTTGAATGCTGGGGAAGTGGCCGGCATCACTAACCTCCTTGCTGGGCTGCTTCACGGTGGGGGTGATGCCGTTGGACTCTCTCAAGGCCGTGTAGGACCGTGACCGGACCTCGTGGGACCGGGAAGTCTCCGTCGGCATGGTTCCATAGCCTGGTGCGTCAGTATGGCAATCGGGCAGGAGTGTGCCGGCTTCGGCATCAGGGTCCAAGCCTCCGTCACGGCCCAGCGGTGTCTCCGGGATGCTGAAGAGGTGCACGGCCAGAAGGATGCTCATGGACAGCACCGCAAAGAAGTAGATGACCTGGTACTCGGAGCCCAGCAGCACGCCCAGCGCCGAGTGCCCCCAGTCCATGGCACCGATCAGGTAGCCGCTGGCTCCGCCCAGACCTGAGGAAGCACCGAGGAAGACAAACCTGGGTCAGAAAGTGCAGGCCAGGCTGAGTCAGTGTGAGCCGGCAGGATCTAGTCTGAGCCGGCATGATCCAGCACAAACCGGTGTGAGCCAGTATGAATCGGTGTGGGCTTGGAAGGCCAAGGCCTCGCCTGCCGAGACCGTGTCCCCTCCATTAGACACTCTGTGCAACAGTTTTCTAGGTGTCTCAACTGACGAAAGAGCGTAATTAGAAACAGCAGGACTTGCTTTGCATTTCAGACAGACACATTAAAGACGGATATTACAGCAGTAATCTCACGCAAACAAGATCAGCACATCTTTGTCAGCGTGGCCACAACCACAGGCACCTGGGCACTCTGCAAATATTTCATGTGGAATTAAAGTATAGTTTAAAGAATTTACAGAGTCACTGTGATGGGAATGTTCCGGATTGGCCTGCTGATAACGGTTTATTAATCGCATGTGGACTCCTGGGCCATCGTACCAGCCTTCACAGTGAGCAAAGGGAGTGGGGGGGGCTATCCGTCTCAGTGTAGAGACGCTCTGGTCTGACCTGACCAGCTGCATCTTCCAGGGACAGGATCTATCAGATCTATTATCGTCCAGGCTGTTCCTGATGTATCCTTCAGTTTCTTGTAATGTAATTTATATACACACACTCACACACACACTATATTGCCAAAAGTATTGGGACACCTGCTTTACACACACATGGACTTTAACAACATCCCATTCTTTATGCATAGGGTATAATATGGAGTTGATCCACCCTTTGCAGCTATAACAGCTTCAACTCTTCTGGGAAGGCTGTCCACAAGGTTTAGGAGTGTGTTTATGGGAATTTTTGACTATTCTTCTAGAAGAACATTTGTGAGGTCAGGCACTGATGTTGGACGAGAAGGCCTGTCTCTAATTCATCCCAAAGTTGTTCTATTGGGTTAAGGTCAGGGCTCTGTGCAGGCCAGTCAAGTTCCTCCACACCAGACTCACTCATGCAAGTCCTTATGGACCTTGCTTTGTGCACTGGTGCACAGTCATGTTGGAAGAGGAAGGGACCATCCGCAAACTGTTCCCACAAAGTTGGGAGCATGAAATTGGCCAAAATGGCTATCAATGCTGCAGCATTAAGAGTTCCTTTCACTGGAACTAAGGGGCCAAGTCCAACCCCTGAAAAACAACCCCACACCGTAATCCCCCCTCCACCAAACTTTACAGTTAGCACAATGCAGTCAGGGAAGTACCGTTCTCCTGGCAACTGCCAAACCCAGACTCGTCCATTGGATTGCCAGACAGGGAAGCATGATTTGTCACTGCAGAGAACACATCTCCACTGCTCTAGACTCCAGTGGCAACGTGCTTAACACCACTGCATCTGAAGCTTTGCATTGCACTTGGTGATGTAAGGCTTGGATGCAGCTGCTCGGCCATGGAAACCAATTCCATGCACTGTTCTTGAGCTAATCTGAAGGCCACATGAAGTTTGGAGGTCTGTAGCTATTGACTCTGCAGACAGTTGGTGACTTCTGCACTGTGCACCTCAGCATGTCTTGTCCCCGCTCTGTGATTTTACGTGACCTACCACTTTGCTGTTGCTGTTGTTCCAAATTGCTTCCACTTTGTTATAATAGCACAAATTTTATTTTATTATTATTATTTTTTTTATTTACCATCTATCCAGCTTTTTATGCAGTACAAGGCTGTGGGGATGGGGGGGTTGGAGCCCAACCCAGGCGGCGTTGGGCACATGGCTGGGGTCGCCCTGGATGGGATTCCCCAAGGGTGCTTCTCAACATGTGTGTTTGACCGTACTTGTGTTCTCGTGCACCTGTTTCATGTCTTCTTCCATCGTCCATCGCCAAAGATCAGTTCCAAAACTAAGAGCAGAAGTGCAGAGGAGGATAAAAATCCCCGGATGTCGTTCTTGCCCCAAATATCAAGGATACATTGGATGCATCCTCGCTGAAAGAGACTAATCCCCTGATTTATTGCGCCCCAAGTTCATTCTTGGAAGGCAAGTTAATAAGACTGGACTTGCCAAGACCACAAGTATGATCTTTGCATTCTTGGTATTGAGGATCACCCCAGGATTGAGAGGCAAGTTGGGTCCTCGCAGTGGGCTGCCCTATGTACTGCCTGAGGCCTGTTATAAAATCTCACAGCTTTATGTGAAACTGTTTGGTCCTGGATTACATTCTGTCAGAAACATCAGCTTTGCTTTGTAGCAGTTACAGTACTAATGTTAGTTGGAGTAAAAGAAAAACAAATGAGTGTCCTTCAGCGAAGAGACAGAATGTAAGCATAAGAGCCAGAATCCAGCAACTGCCAGTGAGCTTATCAATCAGACAGTTTGAGAATCGATTCATTCCCCGACCAACTTTGACACTGCTATTTACACTGCTAGGAAGCCGTCTCGGACAGAGGACTGCTCTTTGGTCTCACTTAACAGAAAAAGCAGTTTTATTAAAAGGATGATGAGTTAACCTCCAGCAGAGAGTAAGATATCAGAGAGGAGTTGAGCTCCAGTCACATTCTACTGGCTCACGGGAGTTTTACTTACACAAAAAATGTTCTTAGGGAAGAACAAAAATGGTTGGAGAGATAACCAATCAGATTGTAGAGGAGGTGGGTCCAAGCAACTAGAGGAGCCGGGACCAACCAATCAGAGATCTTGGTCCTGCCTCCTCTAGTTGCTTGGACCTAAATCCTCTACAATCTGATTGGTTATCTCTCTGAACCAATCATTTTTCCTTCTGCCCTCATAACATTTTTGTGTAAGTAAAACTCTCACTGCCTCCACAGGGCAGGGGAGCCAGGGAAGACAGCTCTTTTCGCTGAGAAACCCGACAGGCCTTCTGATTTATCTGCTATATGGAGAAGGTGCTAGTTTGGCCCATGTTTGAGAAGCACCTCCCTGTGCCCTCAAAGGTTCTCAGCAGCTCCCTGTTCCCTGTGCACTCAGCTATAGATAATAAGCACCAGCAATCAAACCAACCACGACCTGTGTGAGCCTCTCCAGCAGAGATGGGGGCAGTGAAAGCGTAGCTCTGGGGGATGTTGAAGGTGTTACCTGTCAGGAGGGCATGGTAGTGAAGGCCCCTCTCCTTGTCCTGGTAGGAGCACACGTCAAACAGGTATGCCTTCACAGGCCCGTCGATGAAGTCCGCCGAGAAGTCGAAGACCACCACGCCCACCATCACCACCAAGATGGCCCAGGTTCTCTTCAGGTTCCTGTCCGTTACCATGGCTGCAGGAAGGACACAAAGACCATGAGGTTTATCAAAACCATGATCGCACAGGCTGAAAGATGCTACCCACTGCTCTGCTTGATCACAAAGAACTCAACAATAACAACAGTGATGACATTCACTTCACAGTGAGGTCACGCAAATCCACGGAACGGGGAAAGGGGGGTAACTGGGTTCGAACTTGGGGATTGTGAAACTGGGCTTTGGGGGTGGTTGAATGGAGCCCATCATGAAAATCAATGTATTTCACAGGCAGTACAATTTCCTTTAATCTTGCATTATTATCTTTCTCCAAACACACATCCCCCAAAAGTAACCTTGTCTGTGTCCGCAGAGTGTCTACACTGAACCGCGAATCCCAACCCCCCCAGGGGGTAAACCCTGTATAATAATTACTCCTGACTCCTCCGATAGAGCCAACGGGGGCAAGACGAGCCCAGAAAATGCGGCGCATTTTGTTTTCACTCTCAAGTAGCTAATGCAGCTGCCCAGTGTGGCAAACTGCTAAAAACGGCGGGAAACCAGCTGTGTCTCTGGCCTGCCTCCCCTCCCCCTGTTCTCAGAACATGACCCACAGCCCCTTAGGAGAGGCTTGCCTGTGAAGGTCTCTGCTGCTGGAAGCAGCTCATTCAGGAGCCAGCAGGAAGCCTGCGATCACAAGTGCGGCCCACATGCCGCCCAGTGTGATTCACCGCCGCCCGGCAGCACGGAGGCATGTGGCACCTTCTCAGCGGGGCGACTGGGAAATTAATGTGTGGGTCATCAAGCAACATACTGCATAGGATGCAGGAACACAGCATGTAGGACACGCAACACACCGCTAATCCAGGGACACTGCATGTAGGACANGCATGTAGGACACGCAACACACCGCTAATCCAGGGACACTGCATGTAGGACATGCAACACGTAAGTAATCCAGGAAGACAGCATGTAGAACACATGACACACCACTAATCCAGAGACGTGGCATGTAGGATTCACTGCTAATCCAATGCCCCACAAACACAGCACGCCGCCGCTAATCTGGGGACACGGCATGCAGGACACCCAAAATGCTGAACCACCCCATACACCAACATAAATGACACCTGACCTCTTTCCATGAACATAATAGAAATCCTGACCCCCCCCCTCCACACACACACACACACACACACACACTTTAATGCATCACATGACTCCTGACAAAACCCAGTGCCCCTGTGCTTACCGGACACGATGGCGTCCCCGTTGAGGAAGAGCGTGAGCCCCACAAGCATCATAATGCCCAGGCCCAGGATGTAGGGCCGCCGGCGGCCCCACGGTGAGCGACAGCGGTCGCTGAAGGAGCCGGCCAGCGGCTGCAGCACGAAGCCCAGCGCAGGGCTGATGAGCCACACCAGACTGTAGAGGCCCCGTGGGAGCCCCACGCTCAGCAGCACCGGCGTGACGAAGGCCGCCTCTACCGCGTAGCACAGCTCGCGGCCAAACATCACCGCCGCGTGCATCAGCAGGCGCCAGCGGGGGCGCCGGACCGGCTCAGCCTCGGCGAACGGGGGTGGCTCCGGTCCATCCGCCGGCTCTGGGGGGGGGTCCAGCTGGCTCTGTGGCAGCAGGGTCATGGCAGGAGGCGTGGAACAGGCAGACGCTCGGTGGGACCGTGGACGGCAGACTGGGGGACGGAGTGCAGCGTCCCGTCCTGGGGGCGGGGCTGTAGGCCGGCCAAAGCCGTGCTCTTATCCTGGCTCGCTCCAGGGGTAATGAAACCACACCCAGCCGAAGCCTAAAGCCCAAAACAAAGACCTCCTTCTGTCCCTCTGCTAAACCCCGAAGACCAAAGAACACTCCAGTGCAGGAGGAGCCTTCTCAAGCCATAAGAACTCTGAGGAAGGGCGTTACGAACAGGCGGATCAGGCAGCCCGCATAGCCACCCCTCTCTGCTACTGCCTCAGGTCATGTGAGCAGCCTCCTTAGAAGCAGAATGGAGCACCAGGTCACCTAGGTGGGTAAACTAGGGTGCCCAGACAATCCATGTCAGGGAGGAAACTTTGAGCTACTTCGGGTTTTACAAACTACTTTCAAATTGAAAGGCTCCTGTGCTCGGCTAAATAGTTCAGCTCTTCTTGTGCTTTGACTGGTTTGTTTCCTTGACTGAAAGACTCATCCAGCTGTTTCATATTAGCATTAGTGACACATGCATGATTATAGGAGACTGACCAATCAGCACACAGCAAGAACTCAGTGCTCAAGTGAAATCCAGGTCCTTTTAATTGAAATGGTAATTTACAATTCCTGTCCTAGCTCAGAGTGTCCTCCCTGACATGGATTATCTGGTCACCCTAGGGTAAACACATGATTCCACACTGGACTGGGCTGTAATCTGGAGGTGTGTGTGTGTGTGTGCGTGTGTGTGGGCACCACACTGCTCCAAAAATTAGCATCCAAGCATTCACGTTTATCACCAAAACAAGAGTTAAAAAATAAGCTATAAAGACGCATCTTCCAGTTTGCATTCACTGTTGCCTTCCGGGACCATGTGACGTCATGTGATGCCTCCATGTGCGGTCATGTGACACCTCATACGGGCGAGTCTGCAAGTGAAGGGGCCCACCGGATTAAAAGGGCACATTCCTATTGTCTGGAAGCCAGCCAGGGGTCTGTACAGCGTGACACCACAGCACGGGGATAACGGCAGTAAGCTAAAGGGGGCGCTCATGGGAAAATATGCTTAGAATAATTTTCTACAATGAACCTGACGTTCTGCAGGCCCGGAGTCTGCTGTCTTCTCCTGTGGCTCTTAGACTGCTTCTGCATGATAACACAGTGAGCGTCGCGCTGGGCTCTGAACCAAGTGCCAAGATGCAATGATAACATCTTTTTTGTTGTTTATTGAATTAATTACTATTAAAAATCGATTGTTCGCTTAACATTTTTTCTGTGCAATAGCAAGAACATTAGTAGTGGTAGATTTGGCCTCTCTCTGGTGCTAAACATCAGTGTAACTAACCTTATGCTGACCTCGCAGTGCAGTCATTAAAGCCTTTTGCAGATTGGGTCTCCCTGCCTGACTGCTGACATTTTGCCAAAAAGACGCTTTTTTTAGCCCACGACCCCCAAAGTCGCTGACCCCCACTAGGTAGCATTAGCATGCTAATGCCAGCACACGTTATTTTTATTATTTTAATCTTTTTTTAACACTTACATTAAAAAATATTTTACGTTCTAATATTTTATTCGCACGTTCTAGATATCATCCCACCATGCCCACTTTGGGAATTCCTGTCCTAGACCGTGATCAGGAAGCTCCCCAGGGGCTGTGAGCTGGGTTTTTTTGCTGGGTTATTGTGTTGCTTTGGCTGCTCAGAGGAGTTTTACTTACACAAAAAAGTTCTGAGGGCAGAAGGAAGAATGATTGATTCAGAGAGATAACCAATCAGGTTGTAGAGGATGAGGGTACAAACAGCTAGAGGAAGCATGACGAAGACATCGGATTGGTTGGTCCCACCTCCTCTTCAAACTGATTGGTTAAATCTCTGAACCAATCATTTTCCCTTCGACCTTTAGAACATTTTTGTGTAAATAAAACTCCCATGAGCGCTTTGGCTCAAGTCACACACAGCAGACGGGTCAAGGATGAGTTTGGTTGAACTTTGAGTGCAGCGTCAGAATGGAAAATCTGAGTGGAATGTGTTGCTCACGGCGGCGTGACGCGAGGCTGCGAGTCGCCACTCAGCTCCCCAGAGACAGTAACGGTGCCCACTGCTCACCCCTAACCGCCTGAAAGCTGCCGTGGTGTGTAAGAGTCCCTCCCTACAAATGAGACCCTCCTTGTTTCCCCCTCCCTTTCAGAAGCCACATGACACAGGGAGTCACATACAGAGATAATAGAGATAATGTCACCAGGGTTAACAAGGGAGGGGGTCAGCTGACAAAGGACAGAATTTATGGAATCTGCCCTCCCACCGTCTACGCGGCGTGTAAATCGCTCAGTAAAGAGACTGAAAGAAAGTGAACCAAAGTGTTTCAGTCTAAAGTGACTTTATTCTGTTAAAAAGACACATCTCTGTGCCCCCGTGCTGAGACTCCGCTCTCCTCCACATCACCCCTGAGGTCACACGTGTCACACATCATAGGATCAAGTGGGTGTGTCCCCTCCCTGCCGCACCGTGCAGTCTGTCTGTGAGCTGACCACCCGCTCAGTCTTTCTGGGAGCGACGGAAACAGGCTGCCTGGGGCCGAAGGACAGAGGGATGGGCTGGTCCATGGAAAAGAGGAACATAATGGCATGGAATAGTCCTCAGTTCGGGACGAGCATCCTCGACTCCCCCTAGAACCCTCAACAGGGTCACCCACACTTATGCATGGGGGTCCTGTTTGGTTGAAAGTTTAAGTGAAACATCTGAGAATGCCCAATGCCACAGGCTCCGCCCACCGCCACAGGCTCCGCCCAACGCCACAGGCCCCACCCCCAGTCTACAGTCGAGCCCTGGCTTTGCCACACTCCACCACCCCCGCGGCCAGTAGCCCCTCCACCTCCTCTGGCCCATAGCCAAACTCCTGCAGGACGTCGCGGGTGTGTTCGCCGACGAAGGGGTCGCGGCCCGGGGAGGGTGTGGCAGGCGTGCGGCTCAGGACCGGGGCAGGCCGCGGGCTTTCCACACCCTGGCTATCCTGCAGGAAGGAGCCTCTCTCCCGGTTGTGGGGGTGCCGGTCCACCTCGTCCAGCGAGAGCACGGGGGTCACGCAGGCGTCCGTCCCCTCAAACACTCGCACCCACTCCTCCCGTGTCTTGGTAGCGAACCTCTCCGTGAAGACCTGCCTCAACTGCGGCCAATCAGAGACACTCATCTGGGGTGGTAGCGTGCTGGGGTCCAATCCCAGCCCTGGAGGGGGAGAAAGAGGGAGGGGGTCAGGGGGTGATCTGTTGACATCACACAAAACAACATCCTGCGTAATAAGCATGAGGAAAGCGAAACTCAAGAACAGCAGTGTGTCTACGTCAATGACAGGACAGCGTAGACCCGAGGGCAGTGTGTGTGCGTGTGTGTGTGTGTATGTGTGTGTGAGAGAGAGAGACTCAATCCGAGCCGCCTGGGGTCTGAGTGGGGGGGGGTGCGGGCAGGATGTGATGTGATGGTGATCTCCAGAAAATCAAGTGGTGCCTTTGTGTGCATGCATGTGAGACCGAAGAGTGGAGAGAGGGAGAAAGGGGGGAGGGGATAGGAAGAGATGGAGGAAGGGAATAAGGGAGATGAAGAATAACAGACCGACAGACAGGCAGATACATTCTAGTGGCAAGCTGGGCCTGAGCGAGCCCGTCTGGGCCCGGTTCAACCAGCAGCTGATCCCGACCCGCCGCCCAGTACGCGGGTCGCGCTCCAGCACCTTGCAGCAGCTGGCTGTAGAACTGAGGCTCCAGCGCCCCCACCGCCACATGCTCGCCGTCGGCCGTGCGGTACGTGTCGTAGAACGGCGCCCCGCTGTCCAGCAGGTTCTGCCCACGAGGCCGGTTCCACAGGCCCAGGCTCCGCGACTTCCACATGAAGGAGCCCAGGTAGGCGGCGCCCTCCACCTGTGTGGACAACAGACTACGGTCACATGATCAGCCCCTTGTGGGCGGGGCAGGACGAGCAGATCCTCCTGTCAGCTTTTCCAGACATGCTGCGATAACGCTATAACACGATCAAATATCACAACAGTGCTGTTCAGGCTATACGCCGACTCAAGGGTACAACAGGCGGGCCCGCCGGCGATTCAGCCAGAGGCATGCTGACAGGGGGGCCCATGTAACACGATGACGATGAGCCATAAACGCAGGGTGGGCCCTGAGAAGACATATCAACCCCTCCTCACCACCCAGAGAGCCAGAGTGATGCATCTCCAGGCAGAGTGCTGAGGTGCCAAGCAGTGGGGCTATATCTGGGCCAAAGCCACTTTGCAGGCAGGGGGCGCCGTGAGCGCGGAGGCGGGGCCAAAGAAAGCCGAAGCTCACCATGCTGGCGTCGACGACCTGGCCCTTCCCCGAGCGGCTCCGTTCCAGCAGCGCCATCACGATGCCCAGGGCACACATCAGGCCGCCCCCAGCGAAGTCCGCCACCAGGTTCAGTGGCGCGTAGGGCTTGTCAGAGCTGCGGCCCAGCATGGAGAGCAGGCCTGGCGGGGGGGGGGGCACAGCATTAAATCATCAGCCGCCCCCCACCCTGCACTGTCTGGCAGGTTACTCTACCTATCACACCCATTAGGTGTGACACCATTGGGCTGGATCAGGAGACCCCCCCAGCTCCACTAACGTCCGCTGAGAGTTACCCGACATGGCCAGGAAGTTGATGTCATGGCCAGCGGATGCGGCACAGGGCCCGCTCTGCCCGAAGCCCGTCAGGCGGGCGTAGATCAGGCGGGGATTCTCCAGCAGCAGCTCCCGAGGACCCAGACCCAGCTTCTCCATCACCCCTGGGGGAGACACATACCGAACATGCCTCAGATTCACTCACCGCACCTCACCCCCTCCCAAGCAGCCTCTGAACGGAGGCCCGTCTGAATAGATAATCAAAGGGTGTCGCTCTTAATTGGCTTAACAGCTTTCCAGTCAAAATAAACACCCTGAAAGGTGGGACTAATTCATGGAGAAGCCCTTCACCCACCCAAGGATAAGCAAAAAAATCTGCCGTCAGGGGTCTTGAGGGGGTTCGTAATCTGAATATTATCCTCACTCCTGCACCACTGGGCACCAGTCACACATCCCAGTCTGATCCAGGGTATATGGAACGAACAGCTCCACTAAAAACCCAAAAAAGGGCCATCAAGCTGGACTAAGGTGAAGAGGCGTGAGAAAGCCAAAGACAGCCCCCACCTGATCTCCACCTGATGGAAGGGAGGTGTGATCTGAAGTGGCAAGAGCTTCTTATTAGAGCTCTTAATCCTCAGAACACACACTGGGCATTTCTGAAAGGAGACAATCTTTCTGATTTTTAGAAAGTGTGTGTCTATCAGTCGTGTTGTGGGTTTTAAAATAGCACCATGAAGACTCAAAGGAAGCATGTGACTGCCTCATTACATCTAGTCTAACACTGGCCCTTTCAATCTCATAAGGCATCACTGAAGTCTTTTGGAGCGTAAATCATCAGTATTCTTTAAGCGTGATGTCTTCATATGTCTGGGGAAAGGTGCCATTTATTCTGGAAAAAATATAGCACCTCTTGGACGCAGTCAAGCCCCCCGCCAGGCCATTTTCGAGACACTGATGGCCGACCACACAAACATACAGAGAGCAGGCTCTCTCTTCCTCCTGTCCGACACAGATTCCCATTTCACCGTTCTAGTAAACTGTGAGCTACCAGGCTCAAGGGTCATTCCATGTCAAATCATCACACGTTCGGACCTCATCGTCACGGATTTTAATGAAACTTGGTATGCTGATTTGGTCACATGAGTAACTCGTGAAACTGAGATTGGGCATGTCTTGGGTCAAAATTGAGTAAGATTTAAGCGAACAAAGTTTAAATATTTTTTTTTAGTTCAAAGTTACGTATTGGTTTAACTTTATAACTTGATGTGGTATTCACCCTGTTGTTGTCTATCAGCGTGAAATCTGTCTAATTAAATCTACAGATCTGAATATTGTTATCAAATTAAAATGTATCTCTCTGTGAGCCAGCAGACATGCCACAAAAAGCTGAGATCAGCTGAGGTGGATGGCTGAGATCGTAAAGGAAAAATCCAGACCAAGATTTTGTTTCAACCAACCATTTGAATAATCTGTGACTGTGACTCTTAATATTCAACTGGTTGGTTGAAACTAAATCTTGGTCTGGATTTCTACTTCCTGGACTGGAAATGTCCAACTCTGCTGCTCAATTTAATACAATTGACTGGCTGACTCATTAATAAGCCCACAGACAGACACAGACACATGAAAGCAAAGCCAGTGTACGCCGGGGGAGATGGAGGGTAAGTCCGCACTCAGAGCAGCATACTCACCTTGCCGAAATGGCTCGATGACCACGTCAGACTGGATACAGAGACGCCTGAGCACGGCCACCCCCTGCGGCTTTTTCAAATTGATCGCCACCGACTGCTTGCCACGGGCCTGTGAGTCCATCGCCATGGCGACCTTGGTCCGGTCCACACGGATCACCCTGGCCCCAAAGTCGGACAGCACCATGCCACAGAAGGGTGCTGGGGCCAACCCAGCCAGCTCAATGACACGAATCCCCACCAGCGCCATGCCTGAAAGTAAAGTTAGCGTGGGGTTAGGAACAGGTGAACAGCATACAACCAAGGGATTGTCAAGAATTTTAAATAGAGACCCCTATATATTGAGAGACACCCCTCTGCTGAACAGACTATCTGACTCGTGTAGTTACAAGACGGTGTCACGGTGCTACGGACGGCCTCGTACTATTGTCGTGCTAGATGGTGGTCATTATTTAGTAAGAGATTAGCATAACGCTATGGAAATCAGGGCTGCTGTATAACGTGTCACTGACACTGACGAAGACAATGACATTGAAGGACATCGAAAAGTCCCGGCGATTAGACCTCTACAGGTCGCGACCACCACGAAGTTTCAGGTCTGGTCAAAGTTCAAACTTTGCAGAACTGCCTCAAATTAACTACTGCCTGAAGCATCGCGACTCTGGTATTTATCTATAATTATGCACGCCTTCGCCTACGCAACACTTCAGTGAATGTAAAACACGTAAACCCATACCTTTCTACTGCTTATGTCCAGCGTTTGTCCCCGCTGTCACGTTACATCGACTCACGCCGCCGGAGCGTTTCTTTCTACGCATGCTGATGACATTACCGACATAGTGCATTGTGGGTATTGTGGTTTCACGGGGCTGAAGTAGTTCATATAGTACACTGTGGAATTGTTAGCCGACTGTACAGTATTGACTCTTCTAAACGTATTACAGAGAAAAAAAAATTGCAGTTATAATCTAACAGTGGTGGTGGGACACATTTCCTTCACGATCGTGGAGATTAAAAAGTGTAACAGTTTTGTATGAAACTTGTGCATATAAAAGAAGCAGAATTATTAATTTGCAATAGTGGTACTTATGTATTATAACAGACTGTTAATATTCTGTTGATGAGGTAATAACTTAGCAGAGATGGCGGTCTGTTTGACATCTGAAAGGTGCTCAGGAAGAGCTCATTGCTGTGCTCGGAGCAGTTTAGGCATGTTCTCCAGAGGGTGACGTCACCATGTACTCCAGAGGGTGACGTCACCAACCATTGGCCAGAACGAATTCACACAGTCAAGAAAGCGGAGCTACAGTGAAGCACTGTGAGGGTGTTTGAGTTTAGGAAGATTAAAGCAGAAAGACTGGAAGTTAATCATGCCCTTTGTGATCTAGTCAGTCTGTCTATTCAAAAATGAGAAAACACACAATCAACAAAGGAGAACTGGGAGTGGCCTTTCTGGCTATAAGAAAAGATTGTGATTTCCATCTCGTCCATTTTTGACACTTTCTATATGTGCCAGTCAGACGGAAATTGAGAAATTTTTCTGCTAGCTGGCTTCTCTGGAAAGCTATTCCACATTGCTTTGTATTCGTCAAACCCATACAGAGAAGTGACCACAGCAAAACCCTAAATGTTAGGAGAGAAGGTGACAGCTTTGTGGAGCACAGTCCACGTAGCCATCTGACACTCAACAGCTGAGTGTTTGCAGATACAGGCGTCTTAAAAACACATTCTCCATGCGTAGGACTTCTCATGTAAAACATCTTGACTTCAATGATTTAAAGGCTTACAGCTATTAGGTATACTCGGGCCTACTGTTCATTGTGGGGGTGTCAGAAATTGCGGTCTGCACTGTGCCTAATGAAGAGATCGGCATATGGTGACGTAGCAAATGCTCACCTATGCAACAGCTGCGCAGACAGACAGTGCGAAATGGATTGCAGCCCAGTGGGCATTGCTGCGTGCTGCGACTGTAGCATTTAGCATGATGGTATAAGGCACTGCATCGGTGTGGTGCTCATTAGCAGGACTGCTTCCCTGTCCTCAATATGAATTCACACAGTGGGTAACATATTTCTTGCATCAGATTAATTTTGTGCTATAGTTTGCTAATATATGATGAGGCTGAAAGACTCTGAGGAAAGGAAGCTGCTTTAGTTCTGTGCTTTAGTTTTGTGACGGAGTTAGCAGCTTAGCTATAACACGCACAAGGTCTATCATTACCTCCCGTTCATTTATTCATTCATTCATTCAGTTCCAATAACCTCTTGTCCTATGCTGGGTTGCGGGGGGGGGTGGGGATCCCAGAAGTTATGGGCAGGGGTGTAAGCACTGGGGTGGACGTCTTCCCTCCCCCCTCCCCAATATCAAACCTCTCCATTGGCTGTGCCCAGAGGAAAGGAAAATTCAGAATAAGATCTATTCTTTGTCCAGCCTATTTTTCCTGAAAATAGAGCTCAGTTTAACATCAATATGAGATTTTGACCAATTTTTCATACTTCTTAATATCAGCCGCTGAGATATAGCCTTCCTCTCGTTTCAGCCTGATCCCAATTTAAGGTCTTAAAATGCTCTTTTTTTCTCTCACTGCACTGATCTTTATTTGTCTGAAATAATCAGCTCTTGAAATAACAGTAATAAAAGAAAACTTCACTGGCTTATGAATTACACAATATCAGAAATTCGTCTCAGTGATAAAATTCAAGTCTCAGCTCTGTCTATTTTGTCTTTTCTCAGAGCTGTCTCACGCCTAAGATCTACATATAAACTTCAGTTTCTCTTTAAGCACAGCAAAAGAACTCCTGCTTTTCTGGTGTCTCTCCTGTTATTGTCAAACAAGATAAGATAATTTGTCCTTGGTTGATTTACTCTTTTGTTCTTTACTTCTCATAAGGGGGGGGGGGTTAGGAGAAAGAGGTGAAAAGTCAGTAATCTCCAAATAACAAGATGATATATCTCTGATGAGACTGTTCTGAACGACATAATTTTCCTTTGGGTGAGTGCAAGGCATAGAATAACCCAAGACATGGGCACCCACCCATCAGAAGGCACGCACACACACACACACACACACACATTCACACCTATGGGCAATTTGGCAGCTGCAGTTCGCCTTAACATGTTTTTGGGCTGTGTAGGGGGGTCTGGAGACATTGGTGGAAACCAAACGACGACACGGGGCAGTGCCTCTCAGTTTTAAGGTTTTAATGGACGTGATCAGAATGAAGAACATCTTCTTAGCGCTGCTCTGTATTACTTGGATCAGTGACTAAGTGTCTTAAATCTACCTCTCAAAATGTGTAATATTACAGTGAGAGTGCTAAACACAGTATGTGGTAAGAATTAATCCCTGCCGCAGACAGAGGTGGAAAGTTTAGGTTTTAAGGTCAAACAACTCAAAACTACATAAAATGTTTTTAAGTCCTTCGACTTTATTGCATGTAACACATAAGAAACCAGGGTTACAGGAAAAAAGGGGGGGATCATTAAGATGATTTCAAGGGCCCCTGAGTGACAGGGGCCCTAAAAATATTCTGTCATGGGGCCCAAAATCTCTAGCAGCACCCCTGCAAGAAAGAGTCAACCTGTACAATAAGATATTTGTGTGCTACTCAATTTTTTGTCAGTTGTGTAATTTTTTCCTCATCTCCATAAATCTTACCCTGGATTTTATTAACTACTTTTAATCTAAAAGTAAATGGTAATATAATAAAACTGATTAGCTACCCGAGAGGCAAAACTGACAGTTTAGACAATGAAGTTGTATAATTTGAGTCTTTATTCAAAGTAATAAAAAAAAAAATAATGTGTTGATTGTTACGGTAATGAGTTTGTGAGAGTGAGCCAGGTGTGGGACCAGGCTTTACCATTGTGTTAGACCTGGCGTTCCATACCCTCCTCTGGCCAGTGCCGACCACTTCGGCCACCTGAAGCCAGAATTACAGTCCTGGATGGATTTCCATGCCGACCCACTTTCTCCCACATTCCCATAGGGTTTTTCCCACTGCAGACGGAGGATCAGGGTAATGCATAATTTTTTGTGTTATTGTATACCTGCCACGCAAACTGAGAGGCTTCATTCGGGTTCTGGGGGTGCGGTCCTGTTCACTGTGGGGGTCGAAGGCATTCGAAGCTTCCACACTTTCTTTTAAATTGTAATTTAAGGCAGGTGACAATATAAGTTTCTGAGTCACTGAAATTTAAAGTGGCTTGAAAGGTAATTTCAGTGGTGCGACTCTCTGAAACACCGGAAAACGCCTGTCTCCTGGGAACCTGGCACAGCTTCAAGACCGTTAAAACATGCAGACAGATGAAGAGTTTCAATTTAAACCAGATTTAATCGAGTCTAATCGAATTTGCAGTGTTAATGTATAAAATATCATGCGGACCCACAGTCTCAATAACTGGGATGCCCCTGGATGCTGAGCCCAGCTAACGAAAAGAGCTTTCCGGCTTGATAGTTTCGCCGTCTGTGTCACTGGGAATGTTTTACTTGGATCCATCAGCACTTCAGGATAAACCCGGAGCAGCTAGTTAGGTCGTCTCTCACAGCTCAGACTTCAGTCACTCACATCTGAGACGTGGACTGAAAGTATCCTCTGAAATGGCAGGAGTGTGACACAGTGTAACCGTGTAAACGGTGTGGCAGTGATCAGAGAAGCTGTCCCCAGGGAGGAGTGAGTTACCCCTTCATGCAGGCGTTTGCCGAACAGGTCGCAATCTTCACTGCATGTATAATATCAGCAGCGTATGCTGAAATATTCTCCAAAACTCTCCTTTAAAGGGGCGGACAAAACTTTCTGGACTTCTGGAAGTCTTACAGAGCTCTAAGCTGTCCTTTCCCTCAGTCTCTTCTATCAGACATGGCCAGAATGTTCCATTATTTCTTGCTTTTTCAGAGGGAGATCGAAGGACGTTTCACACATGGTTTGTTAGCCCCAGCGTTTATCCATTTCTTCCTTTCGGAATCCTCTTCCATTCAGGCCTCTTTGTGACACACATCACCGATCGTTTGAAGACCCATTTCGCTTTTCACGGAAGGACATCCTCTAGATGACAGGTCACAATGGTCACTGAGACCTTGCTCGGGGTCTCCAGATGGCTTGGTAATTTGTGAGAAAAGTAAAGTACAGCAAACTGGAAACAGACTTTCGTACGCAGAGTGCGCAGATTCTTTATGATCTCACTTCAGGCTTTAATGAAGGTATTTGAAACATTGATTTTCAGCCTCGTCTGTAGATACCTCAGTGCCAAGTGGGTCAGCCAGGCCTCAGACTGCCGCTTCATGAGAAATCTAAATACCGGTAGGTGGCCCAAGGGTTCCAGCACCTTCATCTGGCCCGAAGGAGCTCCGTAAGTCCATAAGATGAATTATAAATAATACGGAATAGCTGATGTTACTTCCACCAGAGAACCACAGGAAAACCACAATTTGAATAAGGAGATGGAAGCTGATGGGGTTTCATTAACAGGACCAGGCTAAGGATAGCTTCATGTTCAAAGTTACGTATTGGTTTAACTTTATAACTTGATGTGGTATTCACCCTGTTGTTGTCTATCAGTGTGAAACCTGTCTAATTAAATCTACAGATCTGAATATTGTTATCAAATTAAAATGTATCTCTCTGTGAGTCAGCAGACATGCCACAAAAAGCTGAGATCAGCTGAGGTGGATGGCTGAGATCGTAAAGGAAAAATCCAGACCAAGATTTTGTTTCAACCAACCAGCTGAGTCCTCTGCGACTGTGACTCTTTATACACAACTGGCTGGTTGAAACAAAATCTTGGTCTGTATCTTTACTTTCTGGACCTGAACTCTCTACCTCTGCA